TTGAAGGGAGGGCTGGGCAAGGGTGAAAAATAAGAACCAAGAGAGACTATGTAAAGGTGCAAATTTCCAATGATGAATGTCATTCTATTGTATACCTAAAATGTACCAATGATTAGAATGAATAATCGATATTATGTAAAATAGGAAGAAAAGGTCCAAAGGGGTAGGGGTAGTGGGAGGGGCAGGGGAAAGGAAAGAAGGGAAAGGTAAAACGATGAGAAATGGAAAATAATGGAAATAAAGTCTTTGTAAATAAGGAAGGGTGGAGGTGGTGAAGGGAGGGCTAGGAATGGGGAAAAAATATGAACCAAGATGCATTATGTAACGGTACAAATTCCCAATGAGAAATGTAATTGTGTTGTATACCTACAACGTACCAATAAAAGAATTTAATAAAAAAAAGATTCATAAAATTAAGAGTTTTTATTTTCCAGTATAATTATATGAAATCTGTTCTTAGACATGGTAAATGACATAAATGTCCAAAGTAATTAAATTAGAAAACAAAAGCATAGAAAAAAATGAGAATAGGATTAGATAATAAATTTACAAGATCAATATAATAATCTTTTTAAATGACATGAAATAAAATATATAGGAGTTTGTCACTATCTCAATTATCTTTTAGAAGTAGGTGACCTACGATTCCTCATCAGTTGCTCTCTGCCAATTCAAATGGAGAAAAAAGAACACAAGTTAGAGGATGCTAACAAAATTTCCTCTGAATGTGAGTATGTCTCAAAAAGGAGAAATAAAGGACAAAATTGAAGGTCCCTTTAGCAACTGCTGTGCAGCACTGTGCCAATAGCTGTGTACTTTGTAAATATTACTGTCTATCTTACAGTGTTGAAAATACCACTCAGGCTCAAAAGATCTATAGGTGTAAAGCACTCTTTATCATCCTGGAATACCGAGCAGTTCTGGAAAGAAATATTCATCCTTCATAATCCACACCAAAGCAGGCAGACAATGTTTTGACAGTTTTGATTATGCCCAGAAGAAAATGAAAATCATAATTCATCTTCTAATTCCAACCCATTATGGCTTTTCCAATACATAGTTTTCCCTTGATGACAATGGAAAACTCATTGATCAACCCAAAGAAACTTTTACTTCATGCTTCCTTTCTTCCTTTCTTGCATTTTAAACACATAGATCCAAACATGAATTCAGTGTGGTCCTATTTGGGAGGTCAGCCATAGTCATGGAGGTTCTCACAGAGGCTTCCAAAGGACACTAACCAAACAAGAGAAGTGAATTAAAAGATCAAAAAGGAGTCAGGACTCACGATGTTCATCAGGGTGAGGAGGTAGTTTTGGACGTGCTCTTTGCCATGGAACCGGACCACAGAGTCATCCACTCCCAGCAGCACTTCGATGTTGTAGTCGTCTTCTCCCACATGTCTGCGGTGTCTCAGAGTTTCATTCAGCTGCTGGTCAACGTTGCTGTAAACTGTACCCAGGTCCAGGCCTCCTAGATGGGGCTCTATTAAGACAAAAAAAGGAAACCCAAGCATTCAGTTTCCCCAGTGACCTCATATGTTCTCAGAAAAAGCAAACCTTCTTGGGGGCCTATAGTTATAACCCAGAATCCCCTAGAGGCTACTTTCACTTTATTCCTTAAGTATTCGGCACATGTGTATGAGCAGAATGATCTCCTACAAATTCAACACAGCACAGCAATACTGAAGGAGAATCATACTATTGTCCCAAAAGTGGGGCCACCATGCAAGACTGTGTATTCCCCGAGGGTGGATCAGACTTTCCTAGCTGCATCCCAGTGCACACCAAAGTTGGTGGGGAGAAAACACAGGTGGATTACATTACTGTTAAGAAGAGTTTATCAATAAAAATTGTGTGTCACAATGTTTATGATGCTTAATCTGAGGTATTAATCATGAAGTACAGAATTAGCATCACATTAATTTAAATCACTCCTCTTTCCAGTAACTTTAGTTTAAAAATCAAATTATAGCATACAACACCACTGCATTCTCGGTCACCTTGGGTAACTTTATTTCTTCTGAGTATATTTGTTTACTGAATGTCGCAAGGGCAAAGGTATGTGGTATTCAAGGGATATTACTCAGTCCTACAGTTCTGCACATTTGTATTGGTTATCACTTGCATAGCAGGTAATTTCAGTTGCTACTTATCTGAATATGTGAAACATCAAAATAAGAAGTCAGTCAGAAAATGACCCGTACACAAGGAAAAATAAAATCATAAATATCTTTTCTTTTATGCAGTTCAAGCAACTCAAGTATTTCAACTTTCCAAATGAACAATTCATATATAAACACACATACACACACACACGTACTCAAACACACACAGAGCACATGGAAAAGTGTGAGACACATTATCAGGTTTTCATGACACAAATAATCTACATTCACATATGAATTTTTTGGGGGGGTGCTGGGGATCGAACTCAGGACCTTGCATTTGCAAGGCAGGCGGCAGAACCACTGAGCTAAATCTCTGGCCCCACATAGGAATATTTTGGATAAAGAAAAATGTTTTGTTGAGTTAAAAATTATAATTTCAATACTAAAAGAGATTATTGAAACCTGCTGGTATAAAGGATAAAAGTATATTCATCAAGATTTCAATAACATAAAATTCAGAAAGAAATTTATTTTCTAAAGTTCCTCAAGGTTTAAAATAAGCTTGACTGAGGGCCGGGGATTTAGCTCAGTGGTTTCACCGCCTACTGCACAAGCGCAAGGACCCGAGTTTGATCCCTGGTACCTAAAAATATAAATAAATAAATAAATAAAATAAGCTTGACTGAACTCTGACTCATGCTTTGAATGGAGGTTTACTTTACACTGTTCTGGGACCTGCAGCCCACTTGAATTTGTTTCTGACACTAATAAATACCTATCTTCTTCTCCACCTTTGTGATTTTAGTAAAATTGAGGGGGGAAAGCTCTGTTGGCCAGGAAGACTGATGACCAACCTTCACTCATGTGATATTGAAAGTAGGGGAAGTAGAGATCTCACTCACACCCTTTCAACTTTGCAAAAATGGACAGCAACACCCCCCTGCCCTACAGAGCCCAGAGACAGGTGCTGCCTGTCTCTGTGACTGCTCCCAAGAGACACACTGCCCTGCACTCTGCCCCAGCATGGCTGCTGCTCATTCACTGGGCATTTTCTCCTCACACCGGCTCCACTGTACATAAACAACTGTCACACATCACTATCCACATCAAAGAGAAAGCCTTCCTCAAAAGTTGTTCTTCATGAACTTCGAATCCATATTCAGGGCAGGAGACAGCACCCGCGAACAGGTTTCCTATTCAACTTCAAGTGTTTTCAACACACTGGAGAAAGTGAGAGGTCATGATAGGTGGTGTACAAACAGGAGATTCATACAGGATCTCTCAGCTCTACAAACTGCTCTTCTGGCAGAGCTGTGGGGAACACATCCAGTGGAAATGCACTAGCAGCATTGCTGCATCTCAAAGCCTCGTTCTGAATGAAGGGGGCTAAAGGCTGAAGACTGCAAAAGCAACCATTCTGTTCTAACACACCTGGGCCTACATGCCTCCTTGGTAGGTGGTTTCCTGATACAAGAAGAGAATATTTTTGTTGTAGCAAGAGGAACCTGGGAAAGAAGAAGGGAGTCTTTTAGACCCTAGAATACTTTTGTCCCTCTGTTACCCAGTGCTGTGCGGTGTTCTCGTCCATGACTATTGAAGTGGGCAAGGTCAAATATTGCAAAGAAAGTGAGAGAGCACCTGGTACTTTGCACTCACATGCACACACTGTTGTATTTACTGGCAGCTCTGAGGCTGTGACACAGCTTCCTTCATAGTGAATCCGATATCTTGCTCTGCCTCTCCTATAAGGAAGTAGTGAAGCAATTAGTAGCATGGGCTTTCTAATTAGACATACCTTCCTTCAAGTCTTGGTAATATCACTTCCTAACAATGTGATTTTAAGTTGCCAAAGTTCTTCGATACTCATTCTTCCCATCTGTAAAATGGGACAGTACCATCTTTTTTTTTTCAGAGTTTCTGAGATGGTATGAGCTAATAATAGTAAAACCATTATGCACAGTGCTTAGACATAAAACATTCTACAAGTAGCATTCAGTCCTGGTACTTAGGATGATTTTCCCTTCAAAAAGAGCCTTCAATTTTTAAAAGCGCCCTATGATTTATGCATGACAAATCACATATAGTTACAATTACTTTAAAACAAAGGTGAGAAAAAAATCTGGAATCAGAGAAGGGAAATATGAACAGCTGGAAACTCAGGAAGAACGAAGATATCTACTGCAGAGCACAGAGGAGATCGGAGCAGAATCTAGAATGCTTGCTCCTGGTTAAAATAAGGGTTAAACTGAGTGACACAGGCTTGTTTAAAAACCTAGCCTAAAATTGACTGGCTCAGGGACAGGGCTCATCTCACTCAACATGAGCAAGGAGTGCTGGAGAAGAGAGAGAACCAGACTCTGCGTCTCCAGGAGCTGAGCCTAAGAATCACACCGTGCATGCGATTTGCACTCAGGACAGAGCTGAGCTGCATCATGGGCCAGAAAACAGTTACACAGGCTTGGGTCAGTCTCACAAGTGCTAGGGTTAGGCCGACCTGTAAGTGTGTAGATCATCCCATTATAATGGTCAGCACCTTTCTAAGGCGGCACCGTTTAACAGATGATGTGCTCTGTGACAAAACTTCAGATGCCTCTGCTTCTAATCTCATCATCATCTCCAACCCTAAGACATAGGAATAGAAACAAAAGTGAATATTAAAAGTGAGGGATCTCCTAATCATGCCCAAACTCCTGCAGCTCTGTATCCCACTTAAGACTGAGAAAAGTCACATAGAAGGCCTCAGGAAGAGTCAAGAAGTGGAAGCAGAGCCAAGAAAAGTTACTCATTACTCATGCCTATAATCCCAGCTACATGGGAGGCTGAGGCAGGAGGATCACAAGTTCAAGGCCGGCATAGGCAACTTAAGGAGACTTTGTCTTACAATAAAAAGGTCAGGGATGCAAGTCAGTGGTAGAGTGCCTCTAGGTTCAATATCCAGTATGTGAGAGGGGAGGCAACGGGAGTGGAGTGGGGGATAGAGGAAAGGAGGAGAAGGGAATGGAGGAAGGGGAGGGGAGGAAGAAAGGGGGAGGAGGCAGGAAGGAGAAAGATGAAAATAAGGAGATTGATGAAGAAGGGGGAAGAAGAGGAGAGAGAAAGGGAAGGGGAGGGAAAGGGGGGGAGGGGAAATAACATTTTATACTGGCTGGATGTCAAAAAATTTTGCATCTCTCCTGGCACTTTGCTGACATCCTGCTACCTAAATGTTAAGGTTTCTTAAATGGTGTGGCTAAATTTGGCAGCAGAGTTTGATTAATAGAATTAGTAGAAAATTAGGAAACTTTAAGCAAGGAACAGCCTTTTAACTGTGTGCTCTTAATGGAGTGTGGGAAGGGAAGGGAAGGCAGAGCCAGTGAGGAGAGGGAACTTACATCAGGAGTTACTGAAAACATGAGTATCTTGGAACCACTTTGCGTCCTGTTGTTTACTCACTAGCTTTCCAGTTGGTACATATGAATTTGCAGAAAAAGAGTAATTTTGCTCCTATTTTATCAGAATGAAGGGGACAGCAAGGAGGGAGCACATAAGTAACCCATGAAATCACAATAAATGTAGCTAGTTTTAATGTTAAATACAGGTGATTTTTGTGAAGGCAGTATTTTGAACTTTCTAAGTGGAGAAAGTAAAATATAATTTGCTTTGCTGCTTATGAACACTTAGCCTTGAAACATTTTCAGGACAGAATATGGGATATTTTTAATGCCTAATCAGATTTACAGAAAACCAAAGCATAGGATTGGTAAAATCATTTCCCACCTTAGAAACAAATATTATGGGCTGAAAAAGGGCAGGCAACAAAGGTAAAAATAGGTAAGTTCTGAGTCCAATGCAAAGGCACATGGTGCTGGGCTGGGAAAACCTTAAGCACGCTCTGACAGACACTGAGAATCATTCACTTGGTAGCCACCCTTCCTTCCCTAGGGAGCAGAATGCCAATTTTATTTGAGACAGTAATAAGCTTGGCTAAAAGTAATTCCTAGCTTCTCTTACAACTAAAGATTATGTATGACTGAGAACAAACAAACAAAATTTAAACAGAAGTACTGCTTGTATCTTGGGCGTGCATTTGGAGGGCTGAATCTGGGTTCCACGGAAGTTACCACGAAGGCTCCTCCAAGGAAGCAGTTCTTCCTGGATGGGGCCCCCTTTGGTCCTCTACTCAGCATGCCTTCCTGCTGCCTGGAGCTGGCTATAACAGCAGGAGCCCTAGGAGGGGGACTTGGAGTAGAGGCTGAGCTGAGTACGCCTGCAGCCATAAGGAGTCGGTCACCCCGGGCCCCCATGGAGCTCCCAAAACAGTCCAGGCATGCCCAGCTCCAGGTGCAGCAAACCTTGGCATCATATGGCACTGACTCTGGTCCTTGAATGTGTGACACTGGCAGTTTTAATTTTGTTGGTGAGATTTCTCCTGTGTCCCTACTCCTTATGAGGACGCAAGTTAATTTTCATGTTACCAAGTGAAGAACAATGTAAGACTTTACCAAAATGAGTCACATCACCTTTCCTTGTGGTGCATCTAACTTTAGAATACAAGGAAGATCATGTTGTTTTGCAGTAACAATAAGCACAGAATAAGTCTATATGTAGAAATTTGGCATTCCCTGTGAATGGAATACTGTTACGAAAATGAAGTCACTGGAATACCAAGAGCTAGATTTTCCAAGAGTAGGTGGAAATGCTATGATCAGAGCTAAAAATAGATGTAAAGTCCTGCAAATGTCATCTGTTAACATCAGAAGCATAGAGCAGTTCACTTTTGTAGATCTTTTTGTATCATCCAACAACACTTTTTCCACTAACTTTTTAGAATTTAAATTAAAGCTCTCACTTCAAGTAGGATACCATAACAGTATCTCCAAATATATCAGGGCACTATTCTACCAAGGTATAAAATGTTTCAGTGAAAAGTAGCTGTGTCCTTTACTAACTGGGAAATTCTGTAATGATAGCTCAAAAAACTATATTCAGGCCAGTGTATATTGTCAATTCAGAAGTTTTACTAAGTAGCTATTCCTTATAAAAACAAAGATACTGCCATTTGATGAATACTAGTTTCTGTGATTTTTCCCCCCACAAGCTCTAATTTTAAAATGCATATATTTGCTTTTGTTTTCACTAACTACTTGAAAGGATAATACATGGAGCTTTTAAATGAGAAATTCTATCTTTTAACTAAAAAGTAATGTTTTCATACATTGGGTTTGTGATCATTACCAAACAAAATTAAAAAGTAACTTTCATGTCAAAATATACATTCTGACTTTCAATAAAAGTCTTCTACATGTCAGTTAAAATGTTTTTATATTCAAAGTTTTTTAAAAAACCACTAAAAGTATGTTAAGCAAAATGAAATGTATTTGTAGAGCAGAGGGTTCAGAAGTAGTAAGATTCCTAGGTTATTCTGTCAGTAGATAATAACAGAGCCAGTTGCTTCTGTCTTTCCAAATCCTGCCATTCTTGGTGCACAAACATTGTCTTCAGGTTATCTTATTTGATTGTTTCAAAAGCACCTGCAACAATTCCAGCACCATAGCCAGGTCAAACACCTTTCTGCATGACTTTTTCAGAAGTAGAACAGAATCTTTCCTAGAAATCCCCTGGTGCATTTAACTACACATCAGTCCCAAGAATCCAATCACATCTCTATGTAAAAACCATCCCTGAATGGCTTACATCTCAACCAATCAGACATCACTCCCACCTTGAGCCAGCCTTCTCTTGAGCACATGTATAGGAATGGGGGGGCATATCCTGTTAAAAAAAGATGAAGGGGAAAGGCTTAAAACAAGAGGGGAAATGGATACTTTACAGGCAATCCACTTGGACAGATTTTTCTTTCAAATCCTGCTCTGCCCCCTTCCTAGAGTCTTCTAGTAGCCTCCTTTATCTTAATTTGCATTAGTACATTTTGTGTTTAATTTCTCTCATTTGGATCTGCTTGCCTAGAATCATTCTGCAGTTTGGGGCCTCTCAGTATCTTTCAAAAGGTACAGTCCTTCCTCTCTACATGAGTGGATTCTTATTGTTATTCACTCAGCCCCACCGTAACCACTGCTTGAACAAAATGTTTGAGTGTGGCAAAATAAATAACCGCTTTTAGTATAGTATTCCCAAATACTAAAACTTATTATTTGGTATTTATACCTACATTATTACTTCCCAACTCCATCATTCCCAGAATAGTGAAGTTGTCTTTCTCCAAGCAGTGGATGCAGTAACAAGGCCCACCCCTCATTTCACACCCCCATTCTGCCCCATGAGGTCTTTTCAGAAAGTGTTATGAACCAGTTAACTAACACCGCCCCATTTTCTTTTACTGCTTTTGCCCCTTTTGTTTAACATAGTTTGAGATGAATTCCTGACATCTGAAACTAAAAAATCTTTGAATAAGCCCATCTTTATCTTTCTTGCTACACTATGGACAGTTTATTTCCCTTCCCAGTCTTCTTCTTCAGTAATTTTTTCTTAGGCTATACTATCCTCTGAAAGGATTCCACATTCTGTTTTATCTTCCAGATTAATCACTTTATTCTATTTAATTTTAAATTGAGGACTTCATTATTTGTGATCCACTGCCTAGCTTCTTTTGTTGTGCTTTTACAACTAAAATCATAAGGCTAATTTTCAAAGACAGCAGTTTTTAATATTTCCATTTTACTACTCTATATATTTAATAGCAATTCCTCTTGACTAAATTACATTCTTTCTTATTTATGTCTTCTGTAGTTGAGTTCTATGAAATCAAAGAGGTAATGGAAAGGTGGAGGAAGAGGACACTCTATCTAATTCACTAGCTCACATTCATCATCTTAGATGATGTTGCTAAGTATCCTCAAAGCTCTGCTGCAGAGAGGAGAACAAGGACTCCATTTCACAGCTGCCAAAGTCAAAGCACATGTCATTGCCTCAGTTCCCTTTCATATGCTACTTTACTGAGGGTAGAGAATATCTCCCCTCAAACTCTTCCAGAAATTCTACCTGAGCATACTACATTCTCCTCCACAGGCACATGGAATGATTGACAAAAATGTTTGCATGTCAGAGAAGCCAAAATATTAGCATTCACGATATACTCTTTCAGATCAGAGTTTAAAGAACCCGGACACTTCCTGGTACTGCTCTGAGCACTGAGTCCAGCAGGGGACAAGGACCAGGTGGTGCCTGCCCTCACAGTCCTTGCATTCCAGCAGCAAGAACCATGAAGCAGGGTAAGGAAAATAAAACAAGATGAGGGAAGCAAAAGAAACAAGGTGAGGGAGGCCAGTTTAAATGAGGTGTTCAAAAGAAGACAGAAAACAGAAAACTTGTCCAGTGATGGAGCAAAAGTGTGAATCTCAGCCATTAACTGTATGAGACACATGTGCCTGCGTCACCTGTACTGAGTGCTGTGCTTTGGATTCAGTTTGTCTCCCCAAAGATCTAGGTGCTGGAAGCTTGATGCACAGTGTGAAGGATGTGTCTTCACCTTTGTGGTGAAAGATGGTGTGGAGGCTTTCAGACACAGGGCCTGGTGGGAAGGCACTGGGGTGTGGACTGTAGGAACCCAGTCTTTTTCTGGCTTTCTACACCGACACATTAGCTCTTGCCCCACAGTGCACACTCCCACCACTGCTGCCTGCATG